TAAACATATTATCATTTTATTTAAAGAGGGGTTCTCCTGGACTTCGTATATTTTTCCAAAAGTGCGCCACTATATTTCAAAAATGCAACGGGAGCTAGTTCCTTTTTGGGATGGGGTGGAAATTCCTCCTTTGCACCTTTATATTGTATAATTTTTTTAAAAAATAATCTTTATATTAAATGTATTTTGTTGACGAATACAATGAAAACAAATCTAATATAAATTAATAATTATATTAAAGGATTTATTTATTGGTTATTGGCAGTAAAACATTCTAGTTAAATTCGGTTAATTATTTTTATTATGGAATACTTGTTATATATAATAATTAATTATAGTATAAGATATGCGAAAATAAACCCGGTCATAGGCGTAGGCGTGGAGGGGGGGGGGCAGAAATTTATCATTTTTTGTGAATATCATTTTAAGCTAATAAAAAATATACCCCTTAGCCCCCTCCCCTGGACACCCAAAAATGTATGCATATATCTTAAACAATAATTTGAAAGAAAGAATGTAAAAATTGATATTTTTTAATTATTCATCATAATAAAAAAAGTGAACCAAAAATGCTTTTTAAGAAATGGAATATAAGCCAAAGATAATTCTTAAGACAAAAGTGAAATTTATTACAATTATTAATAATAGATCCATAAAATTACTAAATAATATAATATATCAAATATAATTTTTTATAAAGTGAGTAATTTTAATTTATTTATCTTAATAAAAGTATAATATAATTATAAAACTATTGATAAATTAAATCATAAATTAAATATAAAAAATTAAAGCACAATCAGTGGAATATTATATGTGATAGATTTACAGTATATCTAATTTTATCAATTATCATATGACAATCAAGTAATTTTTACCAATATAGAGAACTATATATTTTACAGAAAACTATAAAATATTGATAAGGACATCAGAAAATATCTTTTAAAGACATTGTGGGATGAATAATATGAAGATTAATTTTAATATCATTTTTTTATTTAAAATAAATAGATGGCGTTAAATAATTGAATGTAAATTGGTGCTATATTTATTTATTATCAAGAGAATTGCTTAGTAAAATTTGTTAAAATATTAACTGTAATATATTCTCTAACTGTCAAATATGTCTGTAAAAGTGGAATTTTACCTAGTATTTTGTAACTAATTCCAGTGGCGTCACTAGGGGGGGGGGCGCAGGGGCTCTAGCCCCCTGAAGCAAAAATTTTTTTTTAATGACTCCTTAATATCCCCTTGAACTAAAAACAAATTTTTTTAATTGCTCCCTGAACAATTTCTTTTATAATTCTATTGAGTAATATATAGATATAATTTTATTATTTAAAAATTAATAAGACTATTTAAATTTTTATTAAATGAATACTATTTTAATTATAAGATTAGATTAATACATATAAATTATATTTTCACTATGTCAGCTTGCGATCAAATTCTGTGTTAAAAATATATCAATATCACTCCCTAAATATTAATTTAGCAATAACAGTTGAATCTTAATTGACTTTTATTAATTAAATTATTATATAACCCTAATTAAATTAATATAATCATTTATTAATTGAAAATTAACAAATTTAATCGTAATTAGCCGAGTTTAACATCACTAATTAACTATATTATTGATTTTTAAATTTAATTATCATGTCTCTTTCTAAAATTATTTTCAAGGTCCAAATCCAAATAAGTATAAGAGATTTATTTATAAAAAGTAGGTAGAATATAGTTTATAATCCTCTACTATTAGAGTTGGGCAGGTCCTCAGGAAAAAGAATCTGGATACACATTCTTTATGAAAAATGAATCTTAGATACAGATACTAGTATCTTTTTCAAAATATCAAAAAGATACAAGATAAAAGATACTTTATATTTCGTCTAATTACTTAAATCTTAAATACAAGATACTTTAAAATTTATAGAATAGTTTATAAAATACAGTTTTTATCTTTATTTTTGAAGAACATAACACACCCATATAATAAGAATGAATATTAACAATAATTAATAAAATATTTAATGATGAGTTAATTATAATAATCAGGCATTTTAATATTAGTAATAGCCCATTCTTAGCATAGATAGGGAAGGGAGACTAGTATTTTTATTGGGAGTTGAAATATTAATTTGCAAAAAAGTATTTAAAATAGATTCATTATTTTATAAAATAATTAAATTTTTCAAGTCCTTTTTGCCGTTTCGGCGTACTTAATATTGTGCCAAAACTAAATAACCTTTCAATTGGAGCTGATATAGGTATTGCATTATTATATTTATAAAATATTTCCTAAATGGAAGGATGATAATTAAGCATTTATAATGTATTTCGAACTTTTTTTAATAGAATTTAAACCACCAGTTCAATGTTATTTGTATTACCTCAGCAACATTTGTTTCACCAAAAGAAAAATAATCATAATTTTTTATTAGATGTTAAATCTATTGGTGTTATAGTTTGAGCTTGTTTATATTCCTGGTTCTATATTTAGGGCTTCTTTTATTAATATATTTTGAAAGTATTTTTTTTTTATCATCTGACTCAATCCATAAGTTTTTGGTACTGTCAAAAAAGCCTCATTATATTCATATCACAGGAAAATTCTTTCTTTCTTATCTTGGGCAGCTTTTAATAAAGGTAGACAATATTGTAAAATTAAATTTTTAAGATAACTCATGCTACTTTTAACTACACATAAATAATATACTTTAATATGTTTAACAAAATTTGGTTTAAACCTTTATCATTATTTTGTGTTTAAAGGTTTTTACATTTAGCCTGTTCATTTTCTTTTTTAACTTTTATTTTTCAAAAATTTCCATATAAATATTAAGATTGGGATTTGATTCACGGGAACTTAATTCCATAATTTAAATTTCACTACCTTCTTCTTCACTACCATGAGTGTTAATCATCCTACAAATTAAAAAATATTACATAAAATTGGTAATGATGTTCCATCGAATAACATTTATATATATATAATCAGGGATCCAAACCGAACCTGAACCGAACCGTTAAACCGCTAAAAACCGATATTTTTTATCAAACCCAAACCGAACCTAAACCTCTAAAAAATTTCTAGCCGAACCTGAACCGCACCGCTAAAATGCCTCTGAACCTGTTCGAGTTTCAAAATTTTATGCTTATATAATAATGTGTAAGTTATTACTAGTAGTATATTGCAAAAATTTTAATTATATTCAAATTATTTTAAAAATTATTATCAATCACATTTGATTGATAAACGTCAGTCATAATTTTTATAAACTTTAGTATATTGCCATTTTACAATATTTTTTAAATATTTTAAGCTTTAAATTATAATGTCTAGAAAAAAATTAAATCTAATATATAAATTTTTACATATAGTTTTATAAATGACACATCAAATCTGATATCTTACTGGCAATGCCAGCTACCCAAGTTAGTGTGGGAGGATGTTTTTCAACAAATAAATTTATATTATCTCCTTATAGATGTAATTTGAGTGAGACGAATTTTGAAAATATATTAATTGTGCAGCTTAATAAAAAAAATTTAAGTAATTGTTCATATTAAAATTAATCATTGATATATTTATTTGTTATATTTATAAATAATATTATTTTATAATGTGCAATTAATAAAAAAGAAGGTTTTTATTTTAATTATGAAATTTAAAAAATATTTTCATTATACAATCCGAACCTGAACTTGAACCTATATTCATTTCGGTTTGGATCCCTAATATAATCTTAGCTTTTGGTGTTGTTATTTTTTATCTATCTACCTTAATATGAGTTAGTGAACTGCATCGGACCTAATTTTTCAAGCCCGGCCCGAGATTTTTTTATAAAGTTTTGTCCGGCCCGAACCCAAATTTTTTTTTAAAAAATTTACCTGCCCGGCCCTGTCCGAATTTATTTAAATATAGAAATTAATTTTTATAATTACTGATATATGTCATATGGCGTCTAATTTGTTTTTATAAAATAAAATACTTTTATTTTTCATAAAAAATTTAACATAAAAGTGATAAATTTAGACATATTTAAAAAAATTTCTAAGGCCCGACTCAACTAGGCCCGAATTTTCTTAAAAAATATTAAGCCCGACCAAGCCCAAACCAGATTTATTTTTTTTAAAAATAGGCCCGGCCGAAGCTCGTTCGGGCCAAGCCGGTTTCGGGTAATATTGTTAAACGGCTTGATTTAAGCCGATTTTTAAAAACGGCTAACTTAATATTTTAGCCAGAAAAATATTTCGCAAGACTGAAGATTTTGGTCATAGATAGCACAAAGGTTTATACATCTATAATCGAAATCTCGAGGCTTAGGCGTTTTTCTGGCTAAAATATTGAGTTAGCCGTTTTTAAAAATCGGCTCAAATCGAACCTTTTAACAACACTAGTTTCGGGCCTGGCCTACTTTTGCATATCTCTAATATGAGTTATAAATTTTCCAGCTATTTTTGATTGTCATCATATTTAAAATATGGTGAAAAAAATAAGGAAATTAATACAAGATTCCCAAGGAAAATAAAATATAAACTGTAATGTGTGAATATTTAAACATGAATAATAAAAAGAATCTGTATCTGTATCTTTTGTCAAGGAAATGAAAATAAAAAAGATACAAGTCTTTTCAGAATAAAAGATCTTAGATACAGATACTTGTTACATTTGAATATTTATTATTGTAAGATATATTTAAAGGTCACCTTATATTCGTATATTATATTATTCCGACATGTAATATTATATTATCGAGATTAATCAACTTGCATATTATTAGAAATTAAATTGGATAATTATATAAATGTATATATACCAAAAGAATTGCAAATAAAATTATTATCGTTTTTTTTAAAAACTTTAATCGATATAATATTTGGCGACGATGTAAAAGGTCGCGCGGTTTTCGGTCTTCGGTCAAGTTAAATATTATATAGAATTATAATTTTTTTTTTGTTAAAAAAATTAATAAATAAATAAATTGATATAGCAATTATGGATAAAAGATGAATGAGATAAATGGGCTACTGACGACTATAGACACGTAAAATATCCTCGAAATTTTCTATTAATCTTTTTGTATCAATCATTTGGATAGTGCCCTTTATCATTATCATAAATTCTATAATTTTGTGGTTGGTCTTCGTCTTTAGTATCTGGGTATCGTAAACATAGTTCTCCGGCGATTAATTGATCGCGAATTCAAATTCTTTATTATGGATTCAGTAGGGCCTCGACTTAATCTAATGAAATCGACGACTATAGACAAAATATCCTCAAAATTTTCTATTGATAGAGAAGAAATTGATTTCATTAGATTAAGTCGCGGCCCTACTGAATCCATAATAAAGAATTAAATTAATCGCCGGAGAACTATGTTTACGATACCCAGATACTAAAGACGAAGACCAACCGTGAAACTTAAACAAAATTATAGAATTTATGATAATGATAAAGGGCACTATCAAAATGATTGATGCAGCCTATTTAGATTTCCATGGATTATAGAATTTATTATAAAGGCACGATGCAGCCTATTTAGATTTCAATAGATTATAGAATTAATGATATGATAAAGGGCACATCAAAATGATTAATACAGCCTATTGGGATTTCCAGGGATTATAGAATTTGACTTATCGTTACCAACATATGTAGAAATTAACATGATCAACAATATAATGATAATGGTAACGTGAATTAGAGTAACCTGGAGTACTCCAATGGTAGTGGTACGTAAAACTTCAGGGGAACTACGATTGAAAATAATTCTACCAACGAATCGCAAAAATCGCTATAGATCTACAGATAAATGATGATAAAATAACAAGCGAAAATAAAACAGTGATGGTGGGAACAATTGGTCGAAAAACTCGAATCGCCATCACAATCCTGGAAAAGGGAAGAAGAAAAAGAAGAAAAAAATAAACGTACAAAACCGTATTAAAACATCCCGACCAACTACGCGAAATCAAATCAATAATAACAATTGAACCAAGTCAAAGGAAGGCAAACGGGTTATCCAACAAGGGAAGTAAAGCCAACAAAAAAATATAGATGAACTTGAACTTGGTAAATAAAAAGATTGGTAGACAATCTTATCTTGGTGGGAAAGAAGATATGTTACATTTGAATATTTATTATTGTAAGATATATTTAAAGGTCACCTTATATTTGTATATTATATTATTCCGACATGTAATATTATATTATCGAGGTTAATCAAATTGCATATTATTAGAAGTTAAATTGGATAATTATATAAATGTATATATACCAAAAGAATTACAAATAAAATTATTATCGTTTTTTTAAAAAACTTTAATCGATATTATATTACTAGTATCTTATTAAAAATGAAAAAAGATACTATGTACAAGATACAAAAAGATCTTGTACTTGTATCTTAGATACAAGTATTCGCTGTTTTGCCCAACTCTGTCTACTAAATATAATTATTTCTAAAATATTAGGTAAAATTCCACTTTTGAAGACGTATTTGATAGTTATATAATATATTACAGTTAATATTTTTAAAATTTTACTAATCAATGCTTTTGATAATAAATATAAATAACAATATGCATTCAACTATTTAACGCCATCTATTTATTTAAAATATTAGTATAATTAAACATCTTATTATTCATCTCACAATGTATGTAATAAATTAGATTTCTCTTTTTTTACGTGTTAGCAAAACTATTTTTTTTCTTCATTGAAAAACAGTTTTGAGTTAAATTTTTAATACGAATATATTTTAGATATTATTACGAACTACTATTATTTTAAGATATAATATACCAGCTAGAGATGGTGCGACAAAAATATATAAAATTTTAATTGTTTTTCATGATTTCACTCTGGTTCTTATTTTATAGTTACAAAATGTTTCATTTCTAATATGTCATCCTTGTCGTGTAAATAACTCAAGCAGTGGTGTAGCTAGGAATTTTCCTTAGAGGGGGTCCATACATATAAAATCTGGGAGGCGCTTCGGCCCTTTTGCCCGACCTTCGGCCGGGTTTATCTTACAAATCATAACCATATCCCATATCTTCGATAATATATAATAAATATTTTTTTTAAATGTATCAATAATATGTTATTATAATTTAGTAGATTATTCTCAATGACTTTATAATAATACTATCCAGAATAATTTCAATAGTAATATAATATCCTTCCACAAACATCAAAACCAGAAAAATATAATTCATATAAAATCACTTTTAAGTCTTTTGAACGTATAATCTAAAAAAAATTTTTGCTCTGGGAGGGGTCCAAACCCGAAAACCACCCCCGTAACGCGACTGAACTCAAGGCATCAATATATTTGCATAATTTCTTCTAAAGATTTTTAGGATTTTGTTTCATCAATTCTAACATAATAAATTATGATATGGGTTACCATCGTGAGTGTCATGGCTATGACTGTAAATTAACCAGCATCTATTAATTTTGTGGCTATGTAATTTAAGATTATTACTACAGCTACTCAGTGCATATGATTGCATATTTTAGACATGCAATAATGGTCAACTGTGTAGTCGTATATATCATTAAAAATGGAAGAAAATCTTATAGAAATTTAATATCTCACAATAATTTTCTCGATTAATTATCTCCATCATGTCATCTAAGAGGAAGCTCTAACTAACATATAGTTTTATGATTTGGATTGGTCGTTTATATTCTCTTCTTCGAGAATTGTTAATTTGGTAAGGCCTCTAAAATAGTAATAGAGAGTTAAATTAGTTTCATGACATTTTGTAAGTAAGCTGCTAAGAATTATATAGTCTTATGTGCTTTTTAAATACCATTATCAATTGAGGCATATGTATGAATTAATTAACCTTTTTTATCACATGTAATTCTTTAGACGTAAAATTTTTTTATATCAACCATCGAAAATATTTTATACTGTAATAAATAGATTTTGTATTAAAAAATATTATTTTTAGATATGTCCTGTATTGTTTTAAATATTTATATGTTAATTTATTTTGTATGCTGAAAAGGTTGCAGAAATCAAAGGCAGAAAATAAATGTTATAGACGTATATTACGTAAATTTATTGATATTTAAATTAAAAAAATATATTGATCACATATTCAAAATAGTTTCCTATATATATTGACAATTTAATTTAATGTAATTTATAATAAATTGATCTTTTTTTTTAAAGTTAAAAATAAAAAATTGAACATTAGTTTATTAAGTAAATTGATTTATAAAATATAAAATTTAATATAAGTTTATAAACAAATTGATTTAAAATATAAAAGTTGTTTTTAACAAAAAGAAAGAAACTGATTTATAAAATTTAATATTAGTTTATAAACAAATTGATTTAAAATATAAAAGTTGTTTTTAACAAAAAGAAAGAAACAATTCTTATTACATTTGAAATATTTTAAGTTACGCCATAAATGGCTTAAGGATGTAAAAAAAAAACAATTTTTTAAAGTTAATACTGTTTAACATAAAACCTTTTTTTTTTTTAATTTTTGTCGTTTGTCATTCTTGCTCGTTCACCTCTTCGTTGATCTTTTTTTTTTTGTACGTTTTATCAATTTAGTTCCACACACAAAAAAACTAATTTTGTTTTAATATAAGGAAGAGAAAAAAAAATTTATTATCAAATTTAATTCATTATAAAATTTTCAAATTTTCTAGGCAACACACTATTTCTAACTGGTCTTTGAACGTTGCGATTCTGATGTACATTTTGGTTTCTTGGTTCATCACCTCCCCTTCTAAAATTCAATGTATAAGGTGATGCATTATTATTAACATTCGCTTTAAAAACTGTTGCATCATTAGAAGAAAGTTCTACATTAGTTGATCTTTTTTTTATTTGGTCCAAGTGTCTTTTTATAATTTTGTTCCCAGTATCTATATCATACAACAAATTTCCGTTTTGGAATTGTTTCATTTTATATTATAATATTTTATTTAATTATTTTTATTTTTTAAATTTTACTCCTTTATTTTTCAATTTGAACACTTTTTTATATCATAATTTCTCTTTAACTTGTTCTTTATAACAAAATTTCTCTTTCTCCTTCCATTTTCAACATATGATCTCCATATCGTATTCTTAATCTCCTTTTCAACATCATGATATTTAATCACCTTTGTTTTAATTTTCTTTTCCAAAGTTTTTTTAAATTTTTTATTAATTATAAATTTTTTTATTTTATTATTTTCTTCAATTTTTGTTTCATTATTGTTTTTAATAACTATAATTTCTTCAATTGTTATCAAATGATTTATTTCTTCTAATCTATAAGAATTTATTTTTTTAACATTTGGTATTATTTTTGGTACAGCATTTTGCTTTAAGCGAAGCTTGATATTGGTTTTGCAGATGGGTTTATCGGCCATTTTAAGTTTGTAATCATGTATGAGTTTAGTAAGTTTATCATTACAATAATCATCACCTATATTTCCCACAAATTTTTTTAAAATATTTTTGAAGGCACTTAGCCAAGTTCTGCCAAGTAATGGACTCTTATTGCTATTAACAACGATCGCTTGTAAATTTTTAGTTACTCCCTCATAATTTACGCTAATTTGCGCCGTTCCTAATATTTTGATTTGATAGCCGTCATAGCCTGTTAATTTTAAATTAGATTTCTTTAATTCAGTGATGCCTGCGCTCTTAGCTATCGAACTAGGTATTATTGAGAATCTAGAGCCAGTATCGACCTGCATCATCGTTGACAGGTTATTCAATTTTAAAGTTACTTTATACGCGTTATTATCTGTGTTGTCTTTATCAGCATCCATATTATTTATGTCCAAGTTATACAAATTATATTCTTTTTTTTCTATTTTATTATTATCATCCTCTTTTATTTCTTCTATGTTTATGGTATTTATTTTATTAGTGTATCGTGTTTGATTATTATGGTCGACATGATGTCTACAATTACATGCGTAACTTCCTCCTCGATTTCCATTATAATTATTACTATGCCTTTGCGTGCATCTTGAAGTATCATAGCATCTGTTGAATCCGTGATTGTAATCATAATAAAATCTTTGGTTATTATCGTTATTATGACTGGTTCTATTTTCAAATCTTGAAAAATTATTATACGATCCTGGATAGTTTGCTCTGACGTTGTAATAATTCGCGTTATAATTCTGATATCTAGGGTTGTAATTATTTCCTTGGTAATTGGGGTTATAACTATTTCCTTGATAAATATTTCTTTGAAAGTCATGGCCTCTTGCTGTCCATCGTTGTCTGTTATCGTTATTCGATCGTGGATTATGTCTATCGTCGTATCTGACCACCTGTTTGTTTTCTTCAACTTTTATGCCTCTTTGTCTTTCCAAATGTTTTACGCTTGTTTCTTCTTCAGTCTTTTCATTTAAAGAAATGTTTTCAACTTTAGCTATTATATTTTCTTTTAATTCTGTCTCCTCAAAATCATCTCTTAAACTAAAGACTTCTGCTAACGTAATATTCCCTTTCAACGTAATTTTCTGCCTGATACTTCTGCTATTTGATGAAATTTTTACTTTTTCAATGACTCTACTATCGCTTAACGAACATTCATTTTGTAAAATACATAATCTACTTACCCAATTGATGTAACTTTCATTTTTACCTTGTACAGCTGCATTGAATAATAACAATTTCGAACTTGTAGATTTCCTCGGGTGTAATAACCTAAATTTTTCAATCAATATCGATGGATTGATGAAATCGGTAGGTGAACATATCGATTTGAGCTTGATGTATTCTCCGTCTGGTAGTCTTCTTGTGAAGGATCCTGCTTTTTCGATATCAGAGATCTGAGCATCGTTGAATATGTCTTCGAAACGACTTAGAAAAACATCGCCATTACCTGTGTATGTTGGAAATTCAATATTAATATTAACGTTATTATTTGAGGTCTGTTTCATAATTTATAATTTACAATATCCTTGAATTTTTCTATTTTATAGTATTGGATTTTATAAAAATTTTAAGAAGTTAATTTATATTTAATATTTTAGAAAATTTTACTGCCACCATGAAAAGGTTGCAGAAATCAAAGGCAGAAAATAAATGTTATAGACGTATATTACGTAAATTTATTCATATTTAAATTAAAAAAATATATTGATCACATATTCAAAATAGTTTCCTATATATATTGACAATTTAATTTAATGTAATTTATAATAAATTTATCTTTTTTTTAAAAGTTAAAAATAAAAAATTGAACATTAGTTTATTAAGTAAATTGATTTATAAAATATAAAATTTAATATTAGTTTATAAACAAATTGATTTAAAATATAAAAGTTGTTTTTAACAAAAAGAAAGAAACTGATTTATAAAATTTAATATTAGTTTATAAACAAATTGATTTAAAATATAAAAGTTGTTTTTAACAAAAAGAAAGAAACAATTCTTATTACATTTGAAATATTTTAAGTTACGCCATAAATGGCTTAAGGATGTAAAAAAAAAACAATTTTTTAAAGTTAATACTGTTTAACAATCCCACCGCTGCCACCATGAAAAGGTTGCAGAAATCAAAGGCAGAAAATAAATATTATAGACGTATATTACGTAAATTTATTGATATTTAAATTAAAAAAATATATTGATCACATATTCAAAATAGTTTCCTATATATATTGGCAATTTAATTTAATGTAATTTATAATAAATTGATCTTTTTTTTAAAAGTTAAAAATAAAAAATTGAACATTAGTTTATTAAGTAAATTGATTTATAAAATATAAAATTTAATATTAGTTTATAAACAAATTGATTTAAAATATAAAAGTTGTTTTTAACAAAAAGAAAGAAACTGATTTATAAAATTTAATATTAGTTTATAAACAAATTGATTTAAAATATAAAAGTTGTTTTTAACAAAAAGAAAGAAACAATTCTTATTACATTTGAAATATTTTAAGTTACGCCATAAATGGCTTAAGGATGTAAAAAAAAACAATTTTTTAAAGTTAATACTGTTTAACATATGCAAAATATAATAAATGACAAAATATGAAATTCAGAATAATTGTTTAGAGTTAGCAAATTTTAAAAAAGTATAATATATGCAAATTGGGAGTATGGGGGGCGAAGCCATTAAATTTTTTTAGTTGAGCCCCCTGAGATTGTAAAGGCTAGCGACGCCCCTGACTAATTCTATAATAGAGGAATATTAACTATATGTCTACTTACTTTTTATAAATAAATTTATTATACTTGTTTGGAATAAGTTATTACCATGCTTTTATATTAATGTATATACAAGTAATTTATTATATTTTATATAAACTAATAAAAATATATTTCATATTTGTTCCAGGCTTATTTTCTTTATTAAAATTTACCTCCTATCTTGTAAAAATATTTTATGACTATATAGACTAAAGTAACCCGGCGGGCCAAAGGCCCACATAAAATGGGGTCTGAAGGCGAAGTCCCCAATAATTTTTTTATTCCCCCCCCCCCCCTTAGGAAAATCCTGGCTATGACTATGAACCCGCCTAAAGGGTGGCAGAAGCGATAATGCCCTTCAAAGGAGGTTATGTAATGCTAAGCCTCCATAAATCATATATAAATAGATTAATAGAATTTTCTAGCACTTTACCCTCTGAAAAAATAATTACTACTTTTTGGCAACCCTTTTGTAAAAAGCTAATTTTTCTATAATTATGATTTTTATATTTTTTTAACATATAAAATAGCATTAATTTTTTTTGCCTAGCAGGAAAGAAATAATAGTAAATTTTCATTAGTATAAAATATTATTAATTATATTTAATAATTTCTAAAAATAAATGATAAAGGTAGTATTGCCTTTGTCTGAATGTTTCATTACTTGCCATGAGCCATTAAAAAGACAATCTTCCTATTAAATCCTTTGAAAACTCTAGAATGTCCAAAAAAAATGGATTTTTTTAGATATAGTTCCATTTTGTAAATTTTAGTTAGAGTATAATTTTTTTAAATATTTTTAGATAGAATTTTATTCTTATTTGCTCATTTTAGATAGGATTATTACCTCTTCCTCGCTAATGTTGCAAATTAAAATTAATAAGCCCCCTAACCTTTTATCAAGTTAAAGGTTGAAAAAAATTAAGAAAGAATTTAAATTAGAAGAAAAGAAAACCTAAAACTAAAATAGTAATAAATATCAAAAAAATTTCCTAGCCCAGGAAATACAAATTATAAAAATTAAAAATAAATATTATTACCCCCTACTTTCGTTCTACCCCTTACCCCCCCCCCCCCCCCCCCAGATAGAAATTAAAGTACATTTCATTAGGATATTAAAGGTTTCGTACGCAACTCAACCAATCAAATCATAATAAACAATTGTGAAAAATATTAGGCATATTGTCTTGTTATCTCTAGTATTTGTTTTTTTGCGATTGAAAAATGATATTGAGAAGATTTATATTTAAGAATATACAAGTTAATTTTTATTATCTTCTAAATTATAATATTGGTATATAGTCATTTAGATGTATTAGTAAAAACTTAGATACGCAAGCGAATGAATTAGATATCGATATTCATGAGATTGAGACCGTTAAAAGATTAAATAGAGCGATGAAATATTTTTTTAAAAAATCTCAAGAATTAGGTATAACTTTAAAAAAATATCTCTATTAACCTTCTCAAAGAAAATCAAATGAAGTCTAAAACTGCTGAATTTGAAATTGGGAAAAGACATTTAGCTAATATGATGAGTTTAGACCCAGAAAGCCTCAATCAAAAATCAATTGATGTTAATTATAATTATGTAATGCTATATAACTATCTTTTAGGAAGCAATTGAGTATTTAATGCCATCAGGTTTGTTTTCTATCAAATCAAGGCCCAAAATGAAGGTTCTATATAATATATAACATAATAAACTAATAAATTATCTTAGCCTCCTGAAGAAATATACCCAAAACAAAAAGGTTTTTTTATAATTATAATTTGTTTTCAAAATTTTATTTTATTTAAAAAGAATTACAATTTGATCAAGAAGGCAGACCTTTTAATGCTTTTTATTACACAGGAAAACCAAACTATTATTGTCTAATATATGTAAAATCAACTATTACATCAGTTTGTTTAATTTTAAAGTAGGAAATAGCTGAACATATTGAGAAATTAAATGAAATACAATATAAAATGGAAAAAAAATATAAAGGAAAAAATGAAGAAAATGAATTAATTAAAAAAAAATTGTGAGTTTATTTTAAAAAATATTTCATTCAATCTTTATCTAAGAGATATAACTGGTACTAAAATACTATCTAAGGAAGCACTAGAAAAGAAATTGCTAGAAACAATATCCTCTACCCAAGTACACATAATAAAATTAATATTATTTATGCCATGTTTTTTAGTACACACATTTTATGAATAATTTTGAGCGATTATGTAATCATCCATATGCAAATGAGTTAAAAGATTTTATAATAACAAACACAGAAAAATTGGACAAAAGCAATATTTTGTTAGATATACCACCAGTAATTTATAATAAATCATTTATTTAGCTGCTTTAATGAAAATTACTTTAGCATTTTATATCCATTGATTTTTTTTAAAAAAAAATTTGCCAACCTGGCACATTAAAATATTAGAAAAAGTTTTACCTAGTTTATTAAATCTTTTTGTACATATTTTCTAGCCATCCATTTTTAATATCATCTAATTTTTTCCTGATGTTAATTATGGCTTTTATATCGATCTATTTCTACAATAACCATTTATAAATCAATTGTGTTTAATATTAGTATTGTTTATTTGCAATTGGATCATCTCACAAATAACTTGTTTAATTTTTTTAAATTTACTATATTATTTATAGATTTAGTATTTTAGTTAGATAACTCTTAAAATACAAAGTATAAGCATATCAAAAAATTAGAGATTTGTGAGGCCCTGCCTGATTATATACATATATTGCCTGGCTCAAAATTTTATATGTATGAATTGCCTGGCCTGCCTTATTAAATTTTTTGCCCAATCCATCCTGGCCCATTATAACTTTTCAAAAAATTTGTGCAGTTTATGAGCAGGGTTTTGAATGGAACAAGTTTTGCAGGTCTCTACTCTAGTCATAAAAATTATTTAGTGGATTTGACCATTTTGTTATTTTTCATAATTTTTTGGCAACTAAATAATTAAATTTGGAATTGTAAAGAGACATTTGTAAAAAATACAAAAGCATATGACTAACATTACTTTTTTAGGAAATATATATATTTTTTTTCTCTTTAGCTTTCACCATTTCTGGTGGTAAGCTCCTTCAACATCTCTCTCCACTTTATGTTATTCATACAATCTCTTTTATCTATTTTATACTTCTTTATATTGGCTCTAACTTTATGGCCCCATTGAAGTTTTGGCCTTCCTCTTTTACGTTTGCCCATCACTTCCAAACTTTCAACTTTATTTCCTATGTAGTTCATAGGCCTTCTCATTGTGTGCCCATACCACCTAAGTCTGTTTACCATTAACTTAATCTTAATGGGCACTACCTTTAAACTATTTAGTATTCTTGTACTGCTCACCTTATCCTTTCTTGTTACCCCAGCAATCATCCTCAGCATTCTCATCTCCATAGTTTGTAGACTTCTCTCGTCTGATTCTTTGGTTGGCCATGTTTCCGAACTATATAGAATAGTTGGTTGTACTATGGAACTGTAGATTTTTCCCTTTAATTTGTGTGGGATTCTTTTGTCAAGCACTCCAGATAAAGATCTCTACTTTAACCACCCTTGATTAATCTTATTCTTTATCTCTTTTTCTATTGTGCTGTTTGTTTGTATAGTGGAGCCCAAATATTTGCAGCTTTCAATTGCGGATATCTGCCAATCATTTATATCAATACTCTCCGTTTCATCTCCTCCTATCACCATTTACTCCGTCTTTTCTCTATTTACTTTTAATCCGTGCGTTTCTAGGATATTTATCCAATTCACTAACCTTTCTTTCATTTCATCCTTGGATTCGGCAAGTATCACAATATCATCTGCAAATATCATATTCCACAGGACTGTTTGAGGTATAGACTGTGCTAATACATCTATTACTGTAATGAAGAGAAGTGGGCTGAGAGCCGACCCTTGATGAACTCCTTCGGCTATTGTGAAGCCTGCTGAAGTACCTGTTGTGCTACGGACCATTGTTGTATGTCCCATATACATATCCTGTATTATTCTTATATATTTTTCGGGAACTTTTTTGTGGCGTAGCGCCCACCAGATAAGTTTTCTTGGGATTCTATCGAAGGCCTTTTCTAGATCGAGAAAGACCATGTGTAGCTTTTTGTTCTTTTCCCTGTATTTTTCACTCATTTGCCTAATTGCAAGGATAGCATCGGTTGTTGATCTTCCAGGCATAAAGCCAAACTGTGTCTCTCCTATTTCGATTATATCTCTTAATCTTTTTTCTATTATTTTTTCGTATAGTTTTAGACAGTGTGACATTAGTTTTATGCCCCTGTAATTTTGACAATTGTGTGGATCCCCTTTATTTTTGAAGATAGGAACTAGATAGCTCTGCCTCCATTTTTGGGGAACCTCTTCATTTCCAAGTATTTTATTGTACAGATTTGTGAGGCCATCATCTCCTAGTGCTTTAAGGCTTTTTATTGGAATATCGTCTGGACCCCTAGCTTTGTTGTTTTTCATATGCTTGAGGCATGTGATTATTTCTTGTTCTGTTATAGGTTGTACAAGGTTTTGACAAGGGGAGTGTTCATCGAGATGCAATATGTGGGAATTAAAGTTGAGAAGCTCCTGAAAATATTCTTTCCATCTATTCATTATTTCTTTTTCCTTTATTATCAATTTCCCATCTTTATTTTTGATTACTTTCGGAGCTCCGTTTATATCCCTAGAGTTCTTTTCTCGCTGTTTGGCTAATCTGTATATTTTATTTTGCCCTTCTTTGGTATGTAGATCTTCGTACATGTCATCGTATGCCATAGATTTGGCCCTAGCCACCGCCTTTGTAGCTAATCTCTTGGATTTTTTGTATCTTGACTTGTTATCTGCATTTTTGGATTTGTACCATATTTTATAAAGGGCTTTTTTTCTCCTGTATAGTGGTTTGTACCTCTTGATTCCACCACCATAGTTCTTTGTGTGATTTGTTGCCTCCTCTTGTCAAGCCTAGCGTCGATTTTGCAGTGTCTATTAATCTGGATGAAAGGTCTTTCCAGATTTTTTCACTGACTTGTGAGCAATTTATTGTTTCAATGTTTGCATTGATTGCAAAGGCATCTGTCATTGTTTTTAATTTGCCCCATTTGATGCATGGTTCCAGTTTTATCTTATTTTGAGTGGATTTATTTGAGATTTGTAAATCCATGATTAGTAGCTTGTGTTGTGCGGCTATATCTTCTCCTGGGATGACTTTGCAGTCTATTACATCTTTTAATCTTCTGCGAGAGATTAGCATGTAATCTATCTGTGTTTTCCTAGTACCACTTTCATATGTTATTAAATGACTGTCTTTTTTCCTATAGTAGGTGTTGGTTAAGGCAAGGTCGAAGGCTTGCGCAAATTTCAGTACGTGCTCTCCTTCATCATTTCTTTCTCCGTATCCAAAACCACCATGATGCCTTTTGTAGCTATCTCTTGCTTTCCCCACATGCGCATTTAAGTCACCACCAATTATGACTAGGTCATCCTTAGGGATTTCCATTACAGCTTCATCAAGGATAGCTCTAAAGTCATCTTTCTCTTCTTCCTTGCAACCCGTTTGAGGAGCATATACTGATAGGATGTGTAGTATTGATTGACCAATGCAGAGTTTTATCTTCATTAGTCTATCAGAGATCCTGTTGACTTCTACTACTGAAGAGGTTAGGTCTTGACTGAGGATGATGCCGACACCGTTCCTATTGCTAACAAGTCCATTATAGTACAATTTATACTCATCTCCAATCATCAAAGTTTTCTGTCCTTTCCATTTCGTCTCTTGTATGCACGCTATATCAACTTTTCTCTTGTTCAACATTGATGCCAATTCTCTCGTCTTACCTTTAAGCGTCCCAATATTCAAACTTGCCAGTCTTGTCTTCTTTGCTTTGACCTTTACTTTATTTTTCACAGGATGGAGGTCTACACCCTGCGCGTCGCATGGAGGAAACGCCCTAGCTTTCATATTCATATTTTCATTTGTGTCATTCATTTTTGTTTATTGGACAGGTATCCCGGCTGTCCAGGCCTGTCGGTGACCGGGGTGTCATCTCTAAGCTCCGAAATTCATCATACCATATGTCTTTACACATCAGTCATCGAGGAAAAACTTGAAGGAAATATATAAGCTGTAAAATATATAAAAGATGTTTCAAGATGAAGATAATTGTATATCAGATGAAAATATTACTGGAATAGATACTATTATAGGCTGACATTTTTCATACCAAAATTATTCCAAAAAGGAAGAAAAAATTGACCCAGTGCTAAATCGCTATTACTAACTCTTAGATTATATATTGTGGTAATATACAATAAATTTCCTTTAGTCCCTCTCAAAAATTAATTTTATTTTTTAAAAAGAATTAAATGTTATGAAGTGTATCGAAAATAATGAGTGAAAATTTAAGGATTATTTAAATTAGTGCTGTATTTGAACGTTTTACAAACTTTGAACTTGAACGCATTCTTTTTTTTTGACAAACGCGTTCAAATAAAACACTTTTTATTTTTATTTATTTGAAAAATAATTTAATTCGAATTTTTTAGAAAATAATCTGATATTTTTTAATCAGCTGTTTTTTCATTTTCAATTTTTAAACAAGCCATTATTATATTTTATTAATTTGAATATTATAATTTATTAATTTCAATATTATTGTTTATATTTTAATTTATAGATTAGCATAAGCATGACATGTCTATTAATTTCATCATCTGATTCTGAAAATTCAAAATCAGATGAATTAACATTACCTTGGCCCAAATATGATAAATATTTTACAGTAACATCTTATATTAAGGGAACTATTTCAATAGTGCCCAAAAAGTATTATATCTCTTCAAGTTCCAATTAAAACGACATTTGATTTTAATATAAATCATTAATTTATATAATATAACTAAGTTTCCAATTAATAATTTATTTTAGATTGTTCTAAGTAAAAATCATTAAATCTAAGTAAAAATCATTAAATTATATATATATATACATAAATAGAAAAAGGTTGATATCATTTAGAATTTTTTTTTAATGTTATTTTTTTAAATTATAATCTAATCACTATTATTTTAATCAAGGACTTTATATTTTAATTGTTGAACCCAATTTGAAGTGTAAATTTATATATTTTAGAAATAATTAACTTTTATATGATATATAAAAGTTTTATATAAAAATTATTTCTTTGAATCTACTATACCTAGGATTTTATACTTTTATTTACAATATAAAAATGCTATAAAGGATAAAATATTTTTATGATGAAGTACAGGATGGATTGGAGGAGGTCAATTTTTTGAAGCAATGGACAAAA